AATTTTTTCATTTTCAATCACATCTTAATTACATTTTGAAGTTTTCTCTCCTGCTCTGTAAATTGAATTTTAATCACAAACAGGAGGCTCTAACAGGAGATAAGAAATTCTAAACTAAACACACTGTGTAATACATGAAGTTTAAACATTATATCTCTTTTACAGGAAGTGTTTACGAAGGGTGTGTGAGTCACATGCTCGGGATGTGCAACCAGGGCTGCATATACAAAGTTATTTAACTCCTAAGTGGTAGAGAATAAAGCAGTGAGATTGCAGGAGCATGATCTATACACTAAACCTGCTGCATTTTTCCTTTCAAAACTTGATGAAATGATTATTTTATTAAACACCTTTAAGGTGACAGTTGTCCTTTAAATCTATTAAATAATTAAAGAGACACTGATTGTTTTGTTTTTAATTTTGACACACAAGTATGTGTGTAAGTCTACATTTTCCCCATGTTTTTAGCTTACTACTATTCATAAGAATAATAGTGCTCCTAAATTAATGCTGCCCCATGTGCCCCAATGTACAAGCCTCCACTGTCTTTTAGCAAACATCCTCAGGCAGTGATAGGCTGAGAATGTCAGCTGAGCATTCCTATCCTATCACTGCCCCTATCTCTGGTATGTATTAGTATGGCATGAGGAGGAAGCCTAGCCCAGCCTTCATCATATTGTCATTGAAGGCTGCTGTGGTCTGAGCATCTCTGCTAAACAGTGACTAAACTGTTTAGCAGTGATGTAGACCCCTGCAATTATAAATAGGTTACCATGACAGACAAGTATCTTGGGCTACCGCATTAGTCCTTTGGACAAGTAGATTTTGTTTTAAATTTCATATACCTAGGCTTTCCCTTTGTAAGCTTAGGCCTTTTTAGTGGCCCCAGACTGTCAGATGAATTGTATGCAATGCTATAATTGATTGCTGTATACAGCACTTTAAATGGGGATTTAAATCACCATTGACTGCAATGATACCTAAGACCATTTCTAGTGGCCCCAGACAGAGATGTGCTGTGTGCAGCACGCAAAATGAGCACTGAATACAGCTCATCAGTCAGCCTGGGCCTTGCTGACATACAAGACCCTTAAGTATCGTTTGATACATTAGTCTCCCTGGTATGAGCTGGGGTTTGACCCTGCTCATAGTACATTGCAGATTTCTGAGGGGACCTGCCCATTAAAGGACCACTATAGTGCCAGGAAAACATATTCGTTTTCCTGGCACTATAGTGCCCTGAGGGTGCCCCCACCCTCAGGGACCCCCTCCCGCCCGGCTCTGGAAGGGGGAAAGGGGTTTAAACTTACCTTTTTCCAGCGCTGGGCGGAGAGCTTTCCTCCTTCTCTCCTCCTCCGTTCCGCCCCGTCGGCTGAATGTGCACGCGCGGCAAGAGCTGCGCGCGCATTCAGTCGGTCACATAGGAAAGCATTCATAATGCTTTCCTATGGACGCTGGCGTGCTCTCACTGTGAAAATCACGCAGAAGCACGCAAGCGCCTCTAGTGGCTGTCAATGAGACAGCCACTAGAGGATTAGGGGGAAGGTTTAACCCATTAATAAACATAGCAGTTTCTCTGAAACTGCTATGTTTATTAAAAAATGGGTTAACCCTAGCTGGACCAGGCACCCAGACCACTTCATTAAGCTGAAGTGGTCTGGGTGCCTAGAGTGGTCCTTTAAGGGCGCCATTAGTGACAAGTTGCATCATCCCTGAAAGCCCTCCTACCCATCCCGGAATACATACGTTTCAATGTTGCCAGGTATGAAATTTTAAGCTCACTTTGTTCTATCAAAATATGAAATTTGTTTGGTTAAAACTGTATATGCATAGAAAAATTATTTTTATAAGCAAAAATAAAGTTAAGATTTTATGTGATATAAAACTAAGAGAATTGGTAGAGATGTTAAGGTAAAAATCTAAAAGGAAAGATGCAAACAAATGATGCTTGATGAAAATGCACTATCCCCTGAATTAAAACGGCAGAACACATGTTTTTTTCTTTCATGTTTACATTTTTATTTCGCTTTTCCAAGTAACAAAGAAATAATAAAAAAATAAAAATAAAAAAAATATATATATATATATATATATATACAAAAAAGAAAAATACCATACAAAATGCTAAATAGTATATTGCCACCTTTTACATTATACATCCTACGATCTATTCTGACTTATTTTCATCTTCAGTAGTACTTTCATAGCCTTTTTATATCTTTAGATCAACAATACACCTTTATTTTCAATAAACATTTCTTTCTTATCCCTTCTTATACAATTTTAACATATCCTGAATCTTGAATGTTGATCTGACTGTTATTTATTTTAGTTTTAGTTCGAATATGCACAAAAAAAATAAAAAAAAATTGTAGTAATAATTTATTTTATGTATCCACATTTGCAATTTAATTTATGGCATTCCCAAACAAACATCTACATCAATCAACTTCTGCTGCTTGAATCTCAATCGATTTGGAAGGCTTTTCTCATTTTGTTTTATATCGCCTCCTTTAGTTTATATTAGCCATCTGTATTTATAAAACTGTTTTGCTTATTAATTTCCACTCATTTGCTCTCATTTCCACCTCGCCCAGATTTTATCATAGATATCTTGTTTGCCTTTTAGCCTATACGTCATCTCCTCGTAGGTTTTTAGTGATATAGATTTTTTCCCTTATTATAATTGATGATGGCACCTGTTTTGTTTTCCATAAACTGGCTATATAATTTTTTGCAGCAATTAAAATTTGTATAATCAGCACTTTTTCCTGTATCAGTATTCTCTCTGGCATAATATGTAGTAAGAAAAATTCTGGTTGCAAGGGCATCAGTGTGTTTGTAACTTTAGAAAATAGTTGTTGAATGTGTTTCCATACATCAATAATCTTTTTACACTGCCAAAATATGTGTCATAGATCCTTCCATTTCCCCACATCTCCAGCAAGTCCCCATATTCTCTGGATATGTTTGTGCCAATTTTTGAGGTGTCATGTACCAACGTAGCCACATTTTATATGTTGCTTCTATGTGTTGTATATTGTGTGGCAACCTTAGTCGATCTCATAGCCCTATATCATTGTAAAGGCTCCCACACTCATTATTTAATGCCTTCTCCCAGTTTAACATAAAAGGCAGTTTCTTGGGTTTTGCTAGATTTAATATTCCTCTGTAGCTTATTGAGAGAGGCTTAACTTGGGGTCGTCTCCCCAAGCATAACCTCCCATAATCATTCATCCTTGAATTTTCCAACCCTTTACTTGAAGTTTCATTAAAATATGTTTCACGATGGCTTCCGGTTCCACCAACATCTTAGCTGGCCGTGTTTTTATCCTCGTGGAATAACTTCATCCAACTCCATCCAACGCCTGGGTGCTGTGTAGGGCTGCCCCAAGCACTGGGCTTGCCTCCTCACATCCTCCCCGACCGTCAGGACTCCCGTGGAGGTCTGCTCGCTGCTTCACATGTTGAGAGCAAAGGCCGGAAGTCAAGGCCTCTGGGATAGGCCGCATGACCAGCTCTGAGACTCGGCAAGGAAGATACTTCCCGAAGATCTCTGAAGCCATGGGACACATATCATTCTCGGTGGATACCGCGGCAGGCACCGCTTCACTTCTTAAAGGACCACTCTAGGCTTTCAGAGAAACTGCTATGTTTATGAATGGGTTAAGCCTTCCCCCAAAGCCTCTAGTGGCTGTCTCATTTACAGCCGCTAGAGGCGCTTGCGTGCTTCTCACTGTGAAAATCACAGTGAGAGCACGCCAGCGTCCATAGGAAAGCATTATGAATGCTTTCCTATGCGACCGGCTGAATGTGCGCGCAGCTCTTGCCGCGTGCGCATTCAGCCGACAGAGAGGAGGAGGATCGGAGGAGGAGAGCTCCCTGCCCAGCGCTGGAAAAAGGTAAGTTTTTACCCCTTTCCCGCTTCCAGAGTCAGGCGGGAGGGGGTCCCTGAGGGTGGGGGCACCCTCAGGGCACTATAGTGCCAGGAAAACGAGTATGTTTTCCTGGCACTATAGTGGTCCTTTAAAGCTGTACCTCCTGTTTGCAACTACCCTTCTGTGCAGCCTCTCTAGACCACACGCAGCTAGCTGGGTTACAACCACACACATTGCCTCTGAGGGGAAACACATTGACAAGCTGAAGCTGCTGGTGAACTCACAGCTCAGAAATTAAGCCAGATGGTACCTACTCACAAACCTCAATTCTGAGGCCAGGCTGTCACACAGAAGCTTGCACTGTATATAGAACTCACTGTACTTACCTTGCTTTATTTTATATATCCAAATCTCATGCTTTCCATTGCCCCTTACTACTGGTTGGGGTTACTACTGACACTCCAAACTGGGTTACTAGGCTGTCTCTCTGCTCACATCACCCATGTCTGCTGCTGTTTACGCATCTATCGCTCTCGCCCACCGACTCAACCTGCTTCCTAACCCTGTGGTGGCTGAGCTCCTGAAGCACTGCAGCCCACCTCTTGCATTCCATCTCTCTATAGAGGCACGCTTGAAAAGAGCCCTATGCTTGCCAGATAACCTGTCTGTATATACCTAGACAGTTCTTGCTGAGCTTTCCTTCTCTCTGCACCATACTCTTGCCCTAACACAGACTGGTTTAATTGCTTACATCAAAATATCCGATACGTTGTCTAAAGTTCCTATCCAATCCTGACTGGCTGACAGTGGTCCACCTACCTACCGCAATCCCAGGGACTTCACCTGGTGGTTCTTTCTCGCTCCCTCTTTCACTTTTGGCTTCTCTCTCTTCCCCCATGCTCCCTACCTATCCTCGTTAGGCCATTCTTACCTCATTACACAACACGTATAATCACCACAGTCGTCCGCCACTGTCAACTTCACAACACGGTAGGCTTGACACCCTGTCTCTTCTTCTCTCTGCCCACTAAAGTTATCTTCACAAAGATCACATTTGCTCTTAACATCAGGTCCCTCTCTCCTACTACCTTGCTTTTCCCTCCTTATCTGTACTTCACCGCCATGGATAAGTTCATTGACAAAACTCAATCCAAGAGAATGCAAGGAAAATCTCAAAGACCAACCAAAAAGATACACCTCAAAGCTCCTACACCAGCCACTACTCATCGCTCACCGACCAGGTCGGACACAGACGAAGGACCCACTCAAATGAGCTCTACTACTAACCTAATTTCACAACAAGCCTCAGAAACAGCTCGGGAGGTTTCCAACCTCCTTAAACCAATATTTGAATCTCAATTTAAGGACATCAAAGAATCAATAGATGGTGCAGTCCATCTTCTCCAAGCGCACTCTTCTCAACTCGCCTTTCTGGAAACAAGACAGGGTGCCACAGAGGATGAGGTGCACCAGTTACAAACCACGATTTGTCAACAACATAATACTCTTATCTCTCTACAAGACAAGTTGGATGACCTAGAAAATCGCAGCAATCTCAGATTTGTTGGTTTCCCAGAATCCATAAAGTCTGGAAATATCATTCCCACTCTCCAGTCCTGTTATTTGGACACCTTGCAACCACCTCTGACGCTCTTCCCATCATCGAACGTGCTCACAGACTGGGCCCAGAAAACTCGGGCAATAGAACACGATCAAGACCTATCCTAGCTAAATTTTTTAATTTCCATGATATGATACGAATTCTCACAGCTTAAGAAAACCTAGACCTACCTACATATCAAGGAAACAGAATCCTGATTTTTAAAGATTATTCCGCACAGGTTACTCAGCGACGCAAGGCATTCGTGCCCATCTGTTCAGCACTGCACAAGAAGGGCATACACTTTGCTGTTCTCTACCATGCAACACTATGTCTCCAAGTTGCTGATAGAAAACGCAACACAACTTCAGTGACTCAAGCCTGTGAATTTCTACAAGATGTCCTGCCAGATTGGGACAGAGCTTCTCCTGGCCCATCCGCCAGTCCCACGACTGCCCATGAAGCACAGTGATGGCATTGTTATCCATACTTGGATTCCCCTGTTGTACATAGTTTGGGCTCAAGGGCCCTTGATTAGCCAGATTTGCAGTGCTCACCACACACTCCCACCCTGGGATTTATCTGTTCACTCGGACTGGGACGAACAAAACCCAAACCCCATGCACCTTTGCCGCATCCCACGACGAGGTATTGGCTAAAATGTCGATCTCTCATTCTGCCACAAACACTCCTGCCTCTACCCTTAAGCTTCTCTCTTGGAATGTGAAGGGAGCAAATACGCCTATCAAGAGGAAAAAAATCTTAACATACCTTTCCAAATATCAGTCTCAAATTGTCCTTCTCCAGGAAACTCACTGGTTCCGTTCTGACAACACCCAACTCAAGGGTACATGGAGTCAATCCTGCATAGCAGCCAAATACAACTCTAAGGCTAGAAGTGTGGCGATTCTCCTACACTCCAGCCTGCAATATGTGATTCACAGCTGTGATATTGATCCGGAGGGACGTTACATTATTTTATGTATTACCATTAACACGTGTTATTGCATAATCAATATTTATGCCCCAAACTTTTCTACAGCCCCTTTTTTTACTAAGCTCCTCACATTGCTCACTTAGAGGTTGATCAGCTTATAATGGGGGAGACTTTAACGCTGTCCTTGACCCGCCCCGAGACAGATCCTCGGCAGGACCCATGCCTCCCACGTACATTGATCGCAGGCTCGTTCAATTCACAACTTCCTATAATTTGCATTGAAACCTATCTCTGAGCGTGAAATCCACATAGCAATAAAGACCCTAAAGACAGGGAAAGCACCAGGTCCCAACGGCTTCATCTCCGAGTACTATAAATCCCTGAAACAACCGCTTAGTCCCACTCTCAAAAACTTGTTCAATAAAATATATTTAGAAGGCGTGCCAATGGATGAACTTAATCAAGCCAGAATAATTCTGATACTCAAACCCGACAGGGATGCTGAGAATTTGGCTTCCTGTCGCCCAATATCACTACTTAATCAGGACGTCAAACTCTTTACCAAGATAATTGCTCTGAGAATACAATTGTTTTTGCCACAGACACTCACTTCTCACCAACTGGGCTTTGTGCGGGGCAGGCAGGGAGTGACAGGGGTCCGCAGAGCTCTTGCGGCTGTGGCTTATGCCATACGTGGGGATCTAGACTCTTACTCCCCATTCCTTATTAGCCTTGACATAGAGAAGGCTTTTGATAGCATATCCTGGCAGCACCTGATTAGAGTGCTAAAGTTGAGATACTTCAGTCACACATTTGTCCATTTTATAAAAAATTTACACAATCACCCCACTACATGTATTACTACAAATGGCCTGGACTCACCATACGTTGCCCTGGGAGGGATGTGTGCCAGGGTTGCCCGCTCTCGCCTCTGCTGTTTAATCTTGCTATTGACCCATTACTGAGAGCTATTGAGAAGCCACAGGGGTTTAGGGGCAAAACGATGGGTGACATTAAACTGAAAGTCACAGCATTTTCTGATGATCTGTTACTCTTTATCACTGACCCACGTCGGTCCCTGCCAACCCTTGTTGACTTGCTAGAGACATTTCGGGACATGGCAGGCCTAAGGGTCAATTGGGCCAAACCATGTGCCCTTCACTTGAGTGGACGCCCTCCGCCACCACTCCCTCAAGGACTTCCTCTGCAGTGGCAATTGAGGCCGCTTAAATATCATTAAGGTCCCTAGAGATTTCTCCCTCATATATAAATTAAATATTCTGCCAATCTTAACGGCCATCTTTGCAGAGTTTGAACACTGTCACAATGACAGTTTTCCTAAACTGTCATATCCCCTACAGATGCTCCCAATACTCCTCTCGAAAAGTAACGAGTGTTTGTTGAACAAACATCTTAGACAATTTCTCTGGCAGGGGCTTAGGGCACGCCTTAGCCTTACTAAATTATACCAACACAGGGCTGATGATGATCTAAACCTGCCTAATGCCGGGGAATACAGTTTGGCAGCACAGCTTAGACATGCGCTAGACTGGATTCAATCTCAAAAAAGATTTTCTAACTTTTCCTTGGAGTCCTATCTGGCATCACCGAACCCACTCGTGGCTCTCCTTCACAGTCCACACCACCTACTCCCTGACTCTATCCTATCTAATCCCCGCATGGCTACCCCTATTAGGGCATGGAAACAGTCTCGCTCCAAACTGGCTGTTGACCCAATATGCACCATTCACCTACCTTGCTCACTACCCTTTCACGATGTGGGCGGAGGGTGGGATTGTCACCCTCCGGCCTTTTGTAGATCATGTCGGCCAGAGGTTTCTCTCCCTTGCTGAACTACGGGAGCGTTTTGCAGGCCTTCCTCTTCCATGGTTCGCTTACCTTCAAACACGACTCTACTATAACACCATTACTCAACACTTTACGCTGTTGACTGGGAGAACCCGCTAGACACAATGTTGTGCTCTTCTGACTCCACTTCCCATTCCATTTCCAAACTCTATAAGATACTGCGAAATATCCCGGACTGGAGCACCTTACAAACAGGCATAGGGAAGTGGAAGACACATTTTCCGAACATAAGCCATGCTCACTGCATGCTTGACCCATAGCCAGACACTACCAATGGTGTCTTATAGGGACATGTTCCATAAAACTCTACACTACACTTATTACTCCCCTCACCGAATCCATCTCATGGCCAGAAGAGAGACTGCAACTTGTTTCAAATGCACACACATCAAGTCTGACTTGTAAATCACTGTCTGTGGGAGTGCGCTCTAATCCAATCTTTCTGGACTGAGCTAAACAGTTACTTAGATAGCAGGGGTATTCCCGAACACTGGCCTACCACTGTGTTGGAGGGCGGGAGGCTAAGGCAAACTGGCAATTAGTTTACTATGTTCTGTCTAAATTAGTTTGGTCTTTCAATTCATGTTTTGATAGCAAAGCACTTGAACCGCAGACCTTCTTAGGTGTACCTTCTCCTGCTCTTAACTGTTAAAACGCAAACTATTGTATGTTTCCTTGCCCTGAGCAACAACCGCTCATAGTCCCTGATCCAAGTGGTATCTTGGGAGAATTGGCAGTGGCTGAGCCTGCTGGACACCCACATCTAAAGGTAACTGTCAAAGATCTGTTTGGTTTTGTAACTCTTGTTTGGTTTTGTTTATGTTGAGAAAACCACAAAATAGTGAATGTAACTGACTGAATAACAGCTTAAAAGCATAAATGATAATGTCAATCATGCTATATTCTTGTACCATGCATTCACAATAAAAATGGTTTTGGAAAAAAATTGTTTCACTCTAAGATATGTATAAAATTTCCTTGATCGTATTTAATTTGTATATCTTGGAATTGATATATATCTGAACGATTTGTGTTGTGGATAGAAAATTATGATTTATAAGAGGAACACAATGTGTTCTCCAAATGAGATACATTATCTCATATTGTGGAACAATGGATTGTTCTAATATATGTCATAGAGGTATACTAGGCGTATCTATTAAAGATGCTGTTTGTGCCAGTATATATGCTATGTAATATTTTTGAATATGCGGTACTCCCATTCCACCCTCTGTCATTTTGCAGCTCATTGTGTTCAATGATATCCTTGGGGTTTTACGTTTCCAAATATGAACATTTATTGCTGTCTGAAATTTTGTTATAATTGTTTTAGGAATCATTACTGGATGGATCTAAAAAGAAATAAGATCTGTGGTGCTACACATTTTTTTTTTCAATTTATATTTGATTAAATTCATATTTGCATTAAACAAATTTTTTTTTTCATTATATTGTAAAGTAAGAGGAACACTTTGTATACATGCTCATTGTAATGTCAAGCATGGGTAGTTGTCATGGTATTACATTACACAACAGTAAGTAACACTATATCAAGGGCTCTATTTGGCTTCTCAGGGGTAGCGTCATGAAGACCACCTATCAAGTGGTAGCGTCAGGAAGACCCCATATTAAGTGTGAGGGCAGGAGTTTGGGTCTGTGATCAGGATTTGCCTTTGGCGGCACTCCCTGGTACTTTATGAGGTTTGTGTCCCCTTGTAACCTGTGATGGGGTTGGGACATCTCCCGGAGTGTAAGTTGGCAGACCTAGGGTCTGCAGAAATGTCTCAGCATCTCCTGATGATGTCAGCGATAGGCTCTGTCCTCCTTTATCCACTAGCAGGGATCCCTCCAGTCCCCAGTGGTATTTTAGAGAACAGTCCCTCAGTCTTCTGGCTACAGATGCCAATCGCCTTCTTTCAGTCAGGACGGCAAACGGTAGGTCTGCATAGATAGCCACTTCATAACCCTCATATTGGATTGTTCCCTTTCATAATTGCGGATTGCACTGCAGCGTCTCGTGTTAAAACAATGGCGTCCCTGGGTGCCCAGTGAGGCTAAAAGGCCACGTATATATTGTGGGAGCTCACCACTTCCAACTGATTCCCCTGAGGCGTAAATTTCGGCACCTGTGGCGCATTTCAATCGTGGTCACCGCCCGGTGCAGGTCCTGTACTTGAGAGGTAAGGTTTTCGATTTGACTGCTGGCAGTATGCAGTTGTGTGTCTCTGGAAGATTCCCTTGGGTCTAGCTCTCTAACCTTTTGGTGTACCACACCGATTTCAGTCTGGACAACGTGGAGGTCTTCTGTGCAGTGTCTTCTGA